CGGGGGGCGCGGGGAGGAAACCTTTTGACGGTTAAACGGTTGGCGGCTCCATCTACGCACCGCTCGCGCCCCGGGCGGCAAGGGGAGGAGGGGGGAGGAGACTTCTTATGCTACCCCGCCCCCCAGCCAATCAGGGCCTGGGGGCAGGGGAGCGCTGTGAAGCTTCCTCCACCCTGCGAAGAGCCTGCAGCGCTTCATAGGCGGGGGGGGGGGGAAGGGTTGGAGCCGGAGTGTGCACTGTTGTTAGCTTGTGGGTCCATGACGCCTCTGCGCATGTGACGCCCATGAAGCTCCAGCTCCTGGATTCGTGCGATGGCGATGCACGCGCACCCGGCTCCGGAACAAAGTAAGTTGCTGGCCCTTGGGGGCCTGGAGAAAAGTTTGGACTGTGCCTCCACCCTCCATTAAACTGCCCTACCTTGTGCATCCAGGCTTGAGGCTGTAAGGGCCAGTAATCAGGATGAGAGCTGTGCCTGGGCAGGGTATCCCACTCCTGCCACCACCTGTCCTTGCCTCTGTGCCAGGGCTACTCAACTTTGGAAGTCCCGGGGGCCACAATGACACAGCATGTGCCGAGTGCCACAACTTGAGTGTGGTTGATACTTGCCAATATATATGCAATTAGCTTCCTTCACACTGATGGGCATGAATACAAAGATAAAGGCAAGACTACACAACACAGCCCCATTTAAGTCTGAATACAAAGATAAAGGCAAGACTACACAACACAGCCCCATTTTAGTCCGTTCAGCTAATATTGATAAAATGCAATATTTACCTGATTTCCACTTATATGACAGCACTTTTAATGAGCAATGACAGTCCAGGAATTTAATTACTAAAATGCATATCAACAGAATTCCATTACATTGACTACAGCCGCTCCCCGAGTTATGACCACCTCCACTTACGACCATCCGCACTTACGACCAAAGTGGTGCTAAATGCGGCTCCGAGTTACGAACGGTGATTACACGTGCTTACGAACAGCGCGGTCGCCATGTAACTCTATGGGATCCAAGTTACAAACACTTTGAGTTACAGACCAAGCGTTGGTACATAACTTGTTCATAACTCTGGGAGCAGCTGTACTTTTTTGTTTTGGCTCCCACCCACGGGCCTTGTGTTGAGCCCAGCGTAAACCCACACTGCACCGCGGGCTGCAAATAAACCAGCTGCGGGCTGCATGCGTCCTATGGGCCTGTGTTGAGTGGCCCTGTTCTATGCCTCAGGTCACTGAAAGAGACAGGAGACTGGTCTAAACCAACCCAAGCCTGGCACTTCTTAGATCCAAAACCTTCAAATAAAAAAGCCTCTTAGCTTTTTTAAGAGACCTGATTTTTAAGTTGATCTGATTTGGAGTGTGGTGGAGGGCTGGGGAGGGGGGAAGAGGGCTGACAGATCGGTTTTGAATACAGCCGCTCCCCGAGTTACGACCACCTCCACTTACGACCATCCACACTTACAACCAAAGCGGTCGTAAATGCGGTCCCCGAGTTACGAACGCGATCCGCACTTTCGAACAGTGCAGTTGCCATGTAACTCAATGGGATCCAAGTTATGAACACTTCGAGTTACAGCCAAGTGTTTGGTCCGTAACTCATTCGTAACTTGGGGACCGGCCGTACTTGGGACTGGTAGTCCTGGGTTTGAAGACACCCATGCCTATGCCCAGAGCAGGTAAGGAATGTTGTCATTTTCAAATATCAAGATTGGTTTGCTGTTTGCCATGTAGTGGCCACCTGAGAAAGCAGCTACTTGAATTTTCACTGGAGTGTCAAGTAACAGGATTAAGGTTGGATTTTTCCCGCTGGAACAAATGCACCCCAGCTATCTTGTGAAATCGGGTGTCACCATTAATATAAATCTATCTTTGCAATTTCAAAATTAAGTCATGGAGATATAATTTCACCTTTTCTACTGGCCCAAATCCATTGACTTCACTGGCATTACACCTGCAGAGACTATGGCTCATAATAGTTTGGCTACTTGTGGTCTGAAAAGACCTGGCCTGCAGAGGCACGTAAAAGTGAGTTCTTTGTCTCATCCTAAAAAGATCTTCCTAAAAAACCAGTTACTCACTCACATGAAAATACTGAGGTGCTAAAGTGTTCTCACAGCCACCACTGAATGAGACATGAACTCAATCTTTCCATGTCTACCAACTGATGTCACATATAGTTCCCATAGTCAGTGTTCCAAAGCAGTAGACCACTCGAATTGTAGCATGGTATGACTTTTAATCAAGGCACAGTTCTTAGACACTGTGGTCATAGGTGGTATGAATTGTGTGTAGACCTTGTTTGTTATTGTTCATTGTTCAATGAATGGGTTCTGTGAATTCGTTTCAGCATGGCACGATAACTTATGCAAATGTGTGTTTGCATGTGCATTAGCAAACGTATTCACAAGTAGGGCTGGTCAATTAAACCAAACTTTGTACTGAAATTGTTAAAAATATTTAGTCAGATAACCAAACGTTTTCAGACATTGACCATTTTCCCTCTTATTTTAGTGTTTTCTAGTTTTGAGGTATTTGGTTTTCTGATGGGGAGCGGGGGAGAAACTTTCTTTTGAACTTTTCTACAAAATATTTCCACTGGTTTTGTTGATTTTTTTTCCCATGGAGAAAGCCCCCATTTTTTGACTAGCTCCTGTTCAAGACACTGTCTTTCCAGAAACAGTTTTGTGATTTGTAGGAATTTTTGCAGGAGCAAATTTAGAGAAGGCTAAGGGCATAGCTACTCCCCTGTGCCCCCCCCCCAACCCATATCCCCCACCAAAACAGATCCTGGTCAACTGACTCAGGTTCAAGCTAGGGGTCTCCAAATAGCAGTGTAGATATTCCTACTTAGGCTCCAGCCTGGACTCTAAAACAGTGAGTAGGGAGGATCTGAGAAAATGTATGTTTCCATCAAAATTTTCTGTTAAAAAATTTTCCAGTTAAAAACCAAAATCTATGAAAACCAGAAAGTTTTCATGCATGTATCACACCCTCCCCCCAACCAGAAATGTATGTGCAATTAAAAAGAAGCAAAATATCCTTTTCTTTAGAAACTTTTCAAGGGAAATACATCCCATTTTTTTCACCAGTTCTCCCACTATCTGATCGACTCTGAACCTCCTCTCCTCTGCCATGGCTTTTTCTTTAGACAGATGAAGCCCAGAGCTGTTGTTTTTTCCTGCCAAATGCTCCTCTAATGGTTTCCTACAGACTATCCATTGACCTCGGATTCTGATGAATTGACAATCAATTCAAGAAGGTTCCAGGGCAACATGTTTTTGGAAAGGAATGTGGGGATGCTATTTTTGCTTCCCTTTTTTGTCCATTCCTTGCCCTCAAAATAGCCCCTTCACAGTTCCGGCACACGTGCGGGCTAGAAATAGAGTCCCCAGTGGGGAATTTTCCTTTCCAGTGCACCCCAGACATTCCTTTCCCAATTAAGGATGTCTGTTCTAAATTTTTTAGAATAGTACATCTCTCCCCTATTAACTACCCACATCCCTCCTCCAAAGAGCTAATGACCTATGTGCATAGGGAGACACTTATCCAGAGATAGGCCAAAAAAAGATCAGAACACACTGGCTGCTTCAGAGCTTTCAGCCTGATATAGCAAATAGCTGATTTTAAAAAAATTACTGTCCAGAGCTGATTGCTCACAATTTCCCTGTATTCTGTCCAGTGGCCGCTAGAGGGCAAAGTAGGCCGATGAATGATGATTCGATAGTCAAGAGGCTGCTCAGCAGAGACCTGCTAATGTTGGGTCACAAGGCTTCTAACCAGAGTCTTGTCTGCAGTATTGTGAAGGGTGCAGCAGGCCTGGCAACTGAGTGGGGGTTGCTGGGGAACAGCAGTGCGGCTGGCAGCATCACACCCAGGCCCTGGTTCACTCTTTCTGGTAGAGTTTAAATTTCACCCAGAGGCAGCAGTTGTCCAGTGTTCCCTGATTTTGGAATGCAGTCACCAGTCAGTCTTGGGTGCTGTTTCTCCTCTTACATTGAAAGTCAGGAGTAGCTCCACTGAAGCCCGTGAGTCTAAGGCATTGTAAAGCTACATTCACTGGAGGAGTGAGTTGCAGCCAGATAGCTTCCCGGGGCATGAAAATAATTCCTTTCGGTACATGCTGTATGTACCACATATCAGCACCATCCAAAAAACCACAGATGAGCACTCAGAAGCCAGAAAATGCAACCTAAACTCTGCCCCGTGTGCTGCTGCATCACACTACTCTCTATAGTTAGAAATCCCAGAGTTAAGCTGCTCCTTACTTCAGTGAGCACCATACTACAGCCTGCTGGGCTGCGAGCCTGCAAGTCCTGACTCACAGAGCTTTCTGGCTCCTGACTCCCCAGTCCTGAAAGTCCCAGATCCAAAGTTCCCATGCTCCTTGGCAACTTGCTGGGGAGTTGCAATACAGCCAGGGCTCCCAGCAAGGGTGGCAGGTATCAAAGACCGGGGAGGCCAAATCTCCCCTAACCCAGGTCATGGCCCCACCCATGCTCCACCCCAAGGACCCACCTTTGTTCCCCCTCTCGCCTAAAGCCAGCAAGGACTCAGCCTGGATTTCGGGCCAGCAGTCAGAGATGGCTCAGGTTGGTCTAGATATTGGGACAGCCATTTGCGATGGGGAGGTTTGGGCCAGCCAATATGACCGAGGCAGGCCAGTTAGGACGCCTCTGGCCATGGGGGAAGTGCTCAAGGATTTGGCCATGGGGGTGGAGAGGGTACTCTAGTGTGTTTAGTGGGCAGGCGGCAGGGACCTGGGTGGGAGACGCAAGGCCTGGGGCTAATCTCCCCGAAAAAGGGGTTCACCCACCACCCATGGCTCAGGGGGTTTTGGCTCCCGAGGGATCATGACAGCCAAGAAGGCTTATTTGGGTTTGGAAACACTGAAATGTTCTTGCTTCAGGGACCCCAAAAGGAAATCTTGCAGATTTACAGAGCCAGGGAAAAGCACCTGAATTTGGGGATTCTTGTCCCAGTTCATTGCACTGGTGCTGGGACCATTTGTATTTGTGGCACTGAAAACGGAGCCCATGGACCCGGGTCCGCCAGCCGCTCCAGCACCTATGCTTAATTTCTCAACATTTTTCCTGGGCATGGAGATCTCTCTCACAGCCAACTCTTCTCCTGGGTATGATGTACCAGGGGTTGGCGCTCTGTATCTGCAGTCAGTTCCAAGCACTCCATGCTCACCTGCCTTTGGCTTGCCAACACGTGGAGTGGAAATCACTCGATGCCGGAGAAGTACAAACAGAGAGTTGTCTGGAACACCTGGGATTATGTGGGACCAGCAGAGTCAGGGAGGACGGGGGATTGCAGGGGTCTGATGAGGGATTTCGGTT